AAGATAGGAATTGATCCAGATCTTCAGGTTTTTGTCTTTTGATTGATAGTGATTCTTTTGTACTCAGGATAGATTTTAGAACTGGTGATTGTAGTATAGTTCCTGAGTATTGTGCATGACCTTTTTGAGATATGAATCGACTTGTATATTGATGTTTTAAATTTCATAGATGTTTGATAGACTGTTTAATTGAAGGTTTTAGATAACTCTGGTAAATTATTTGAGAAATAGATTGACATTCTTTCCAAGTTAGATCTTGGGGCATCACACAAGGAAGGGCCTTATTTGTAATTGACTGCAAATACTAGTGGATTCATTCAAACTGGTCCAAACCCCGTGATTTTTTCACCTTTTCAGGGGTTTCCACATAAAAATTCTGGTCTCTTATGAATGCTACACCCTCTCTCTTATCTGCTTGTGTGATAGATTTTCGTACAACGCTAAGGCATTAAATCATATATTTCTCTACCACCGTGAATATTCTAGGACGCAACAATTATATTAGGCTCATGGTCAGAGTCTGTGTGTTCTCCAATAGCTTCAAATCATTAAGCAATGAATCAATATGATATAATCGATAAGGCACAAAGCCCTATGTCAACTAAGGTGGCTTGAAATGTATCCCCTTAGATAAATACTCACCCCCAAGTCAACAAGGAACCCTTGAATGAAGCAACTCATGACTCCGATAAGGATCCTTCTGTCATGTTAGGTCGACTACCTTCTTTGACGAAGTAGACCAAGGACTACGATGGAACCATCAGATCTTGATCGGGCTCGTCATTATCCCCCCACCATTTGCTTTAAGTATAGGGAGGTGAATTTTCAATTTTAAATATTAAATTTTCAAATACTTAAATCATGCTTCTAATATATACGCTAGATACTCTGTATCTATTTGACAACTAGCCTTAATTGAAAGTTCTCTCTCGTTATCTGGAGGGGTAATTAACTATAGGGGCTTGCGCCTATAAAAAACCAAAACTCAGGTCATAAAGTCCCCGCAAAATGAAATCTTTGGGTAGTGTTATTTAAAGCCCAATTTACCTTCTAAAAAATTGCTTCAAACTTAAACATTAAAACTCTCCTCGAAAACCTGAAAAAGAAAAAAAAAGAGCCCGCGAAGAGGCTGGGGTGCAGGTGCGAATTTTCAGAGCCCACATGAGCACAATAGCACCATTCTTATAGTTGCAAATTTATTAACCAAAGAGTTGCTACCAAAGAAATTTAATAAGCATATTGAAAAAATGAGTATCATTTAAAAGTATTATTGACTTTTTCTATAAGTTTATTATTTTTTATGGCATAAACATAGTATTGTTTCAAATACACCGATGCATAATATTTCATCATGTAAGTAGCATGCATATAAGCATGCTTGAATTATGTGAATATTAATAGGGTTTGTCTCTACCTAAGTTATTATTGTTGGACCATTATAAGTATATCTCATTACATGTTTAGTATATAACAAACAATGTAATATATTAAAAGGATTGGATTGCACTCATGATGTACAAAGGATATGATTTCAAGCACTTATTTGTATTATTATTAAAGCATTAAATTGAATGATGTCAGAAATATGTTCATTAAGTACTTAATTTTTCTTTATAAGACTTTATTTGAGGTAATTCTTTTATTATTTTCATAAGTAATTTTTTAGTACAAAAAATTTAAAAAAACAACAGAAAAAATGACAAAAGATTGCCTTAAACAAAATCTAACTTTAATCATGGCTTAGTAGTTAATTATGTATTGAAAATTATTGATTAATGGAGAGATTATTTATCCAACCTTTATGAATCCATTAAATAACTGAATTAGTAACTATCAAGCATCTTCTACCCCATTAAGTGTTAGTTTTCTCCATTAGGAAAACACAGTACACTAATAGAAAGAAAGGGAAAAAGAAAGAAAACCCTAATTTCTTTAATTATTTGATCAATTTCAATGAAATAGATCACCATGAATCAATGAATGTTTTCTTCAATTTATTATTATTATTATTATTTCTGAAAATCCTCAGGTTCAAGATCTTAAGCATAAAATTTATGCAAAAAAAATTAAAATTTGATTTGTATGATTGAGAAAAATTCTTCTATAAATTGAGAAAATTCTTAGATGGGAGGCCACCACAATGTTCCTTTTTTTGTACTAGGAAGTACTGAATGTAACAATAGGCTAGTAGAAATTGAAGCAACCTAAAGGCTTTGAAAGCTTTCTTCAAAGGTAAAATTATTTTGCGCAGATACGTACGCCGTCCGGAGGTGAATCAAAACGCACCACATCACTTTTTGCTGTATACTGCGCATATTTACTGGGTGATGTGGCATATTCTAATTTGTCTCCGAACGATTTAGTATCTGCACAAAATAATTTCTCTTCAAAGTGTCATTTTTAAATGTTGCACCACCTCTTGGTTGCCTTCGGAGGGGAAAATTATTGGGTCAGGTCACCAGCACAGCTTATGTTCAGTATTCACAGTATTGAGCTAAGTACTGAGTACCGAGCAGTACTGAGCTCGGTACGGTACTGTTTGGTACTGCTCAATACCGAGTCAGTATCAAGTAGGAGGTGATGTGGCGCATTTTCATTGGGCTCCGAACACATCCCATGACCTGACCCAATAATTTTCCCTTCGGAAGGAGCTAATTTGTCGTCCTTTCAATGCTAAACAAAAAGGGTTTGAACATGAAGTTCCAGTTGTATGGGAACCACAGTGCAAACACTATATTTTATGAGGCAAAAGCATACAGGAAAGAAAGTCAAGAATGGAGGGTAAATGAATAATAGAATAATTGCATTAACTTTCAACTTAATACAATGAAGCAATTCAATCAAAACACGATACGCCATAATCTCTTTAATTGAAAATCTTGATCAATGACTTTACCTTTTTATTCGCCTAACAGGAAGTGACATAGCTCATTGTGGTCTGATATCTAATAGCTGGTTTTCATTGTACACTGTTGCAACCATTAAAATTGCATTTGGAATAGCTTTTTTATTGCTCTTTAAAATAAATTTTTAATAAAAACTTTTCTTCAAAAATTTTTTATATTAAAATACTACTAAAAAATAATAAGAAAGCTGTTAGAAACTAAGCTTAAGATAATTTCTACAGCATTCATAGGTAAGATTTAAATAATAAAAATAACAATTAAATTAAGTACTTCAAGAGATTACCTTAGCTAAATATCAAAGGAAACAATTTTAATCGTTATCATATTTTATCATATTTTTTTAATAAATTGACACAGCCAAAATCACCGAGAAAATTCAATGACATCAAGTGACATAAGTGAAATATTACGTTGTTATTAGGGGTGCAAATGAGTTAAACTAAATCGAGTCGAGCTCGAGCCAAGGGTGTTTGAATCGAGCTCGACTGTCAAATACCAAGCTCGAGCTCAAGCTCGACTCATCTCATGTCGAGCAGCTCGTCGAGCTCAGTCCCGAGCTCCGCGGTCGAGCTCCATCCCAAGTAGGCTCGTTGTGGCATCCATTGTCATCCTAAGCTTTGTCATCATCCTGAGCTTCGCCGCCGATATCCGTCATCTCGAGCTCGTCGTCACGTCCATTGTCATCCCGAGGTCCGTCGTCGTCCTGAGCTCGACTGTCGAGATTCATCATCCCGAGCTCGTCTGTCAACGTCCTAAACTCCTCTGTCGAGATCCACGTGCTCCGTCATTTTGGTTGTCCCGCCCGACCTTAAAATCATCCTCTTGCCCGCTCAATTGAGATTTCCTTCTCCCGCCCAATCACCTACGCGAGTTGACGAGTCGAGCGGAGGTCTGTTCGAGCTCGATAAGCCGTCAAGCTCGAAATCGTGTTCGAGCTCGACACGATGAGCTCAATAAGCTCGACTCGTTGAGCCTATTACCGAGTTGAATCCAAGCCAGCTCGCGAGTCCACTTGACTCAATTACACCCCTAATTGCTACACACAACTATGCACATGACAAGTAAGAAATCATTAATACCATGAACAAAAATGAACAAAAATATTAAAATGCTAGACAAGAACAAAAAATTTATATCAAATTGTACCTGAAAAATCGAACATGTTTACATAAAACTACTATTTCTGTCAAAATGTTGATCGATTAATAAAAGGACCCATCAGAGCCAATAAAAAAATCAAAATACTGGAGGAGATTAGAAATATGATGTTCAGTTGTACCAAATTGATTCAAATGTTCTCCTGCCAATATCAGGCAATTATCACTTGCAAGCAATGCAGAATCCTTCAAATATTACTGTTGGCTAGCAGCAAAATCTATTGATTGGGTCAAGCCCTCCAATCCTCTCCAACTCCTCATCCGCAATCTTCCTGCCCTAAAAACATGAAACCTCATAAAATAGAATTGAAGCTGATTAACAGAGTAAAAGATAATGCTTCAAGCATAACTGATTACCTAAGAAGTACCCACACAGGCAAAGATGAAAACTACAGAAATAATAATATTTCCACCCTACCATAGTAGCATCAAATTTAAAGCCTCCTAGTACTACTAATATACCATTTAGTTTGAAAAGAAATTAGAAGTCATATCTTAAGACTTAAAGAACTCCAAAACCTTGGATCGCCATATTTCCATGGCAACCAGTAATTCAGTAGATGAATAACAATAGCAAGGATCAACTCTGCGGAGAAGCTTTTGTGACTCCAGTAGCCGCAGCTGGTTCGGCGGAAGTTGCAGGTGCACCATCAGTGGAATATGGAGGCTGCGAATAAGCATTGCCAGAATATGCATCACCGTACAGCTGCGTCTGCTGCTGAGAATAGGTTGTAGTATGACTTATCGGAGCTCCGCCGTAAGACTGTTGTTGCCCATAGCCCGCCTGCGGAACCCCGGAAACATACCCCGATGCAAGCTGCTGAGAGTCCTGAGAATATACCTGTGCAGAATGACCATAAACTTGAGCAGGCTGAGCATAGCCAGCCTGAGAGGAGGGAGGCTGACCATAAGCTTGAGATGGCTGTGGTTTTTGCCCAAGAGGAGGCTGGGCAGACGGTTGGCTAGCATATCCTGGCTGAGATGTAGGAGTCGCGACGTATCCAGGCTGCGCTGCGGCACTCGGCTGCTGGCCAGGAGGAGCTTGTTGAGTAGAAGTTTCAACGCCATAGTTGGGATTAGCTCCCTCCTGAGTTGATGGAGCGGCATTACCATAAGAAGGTGCAGAGCTATAACTTTGCTGAGCATAGCCGGACTGTGGATTTGAAATTGCTTGATTATAACTTTGTGGATACCCAGCAGAAGATTGGGAATAGGTGGATTCACCATATGGAGCCTGACCATTGTAGGATGTGGGCATCTGGTTGTAATTGTAATTATTGCCATCTAGGGCAACGGAGGATCCCCCCACTGGTGGAGGGGGAAGCTGCTGCTGCTGTGGCTGTTGCTGGTTGTAGTAATCATATGCAGTGCCTTGGGTGGTCTGTTGCACCGAGGTTGCATATCCAACATAAGGAGACTGAGACATGTTATATTGAGGTACTGGACCAGGATAAGCTCCTGGCTGCATGTAGCCATAATTAGGTTGCTGCATCTGTGGTGCTCCTGTTGGAACCCAGCTTGTTGGAGGCCTAGGTGGGCGATATCCTCCTGTTTGTGGGTTTCTAGCACGATTCTGCATAATAGAAGTCATCTTATGAACCATATCATCTCATAAAGATGTACAGAAGGCAATATGGGACAAACATTCAATACATTGAAAAAAATAATAAAAAACTGTTTTGCATTTAATATTCAAAGACCAAGCATTTAAGTGTTCATTATTTGGAAATGGAAGACCAACTTACCATATTAGATGATAACTCCCAAGGCACACATCTGATGTCCCCTCTTCTCCCATGTCCTAACTTATTTGGACTAGTAGAAAGTACCGCACAGCCTAAACAAACATTTCTAAGAGAACATGTATATTTTCACATGCAACAAAATATATATGGTTTGTCCAAAAGAATCAAATCACAAATATCTCAACTGGAGAGAGCATAATAGATATATACAGAAGAAAAAAAATGACAACGGCAATAGGCTTAGAGAAGTATTGCATAATAAGAAAATACAAAGATTTAAGGAGATTGAATATACCATCAATAAAATTTCCTCCAAAGAAATAAAAAAGAAATATAATCGCATGATCATGTGGAGTTAATAATAATGATAGTGAAGAGAAAAAATTCAATTTCATGAACTACCAGCTTTTCAAAAAGAACTTTGAACTGGGTTGTCTTTAGGAAGTCAACCTGCAGGAATGGAAGGCAGATGATAATTAAAGAACAAGATTTAAAGAAGAGTGTAGCTCTATGTGCAGTTCCTGAATGGCTGAAGAAAGGGGGTGAGGGAATGTGTCACAATTTTAGTAACCAACAAATGGACAACAAATAACAATGAAACTATGTAGTAAATTTACTTCTAAAAGTATGCTGCATGGGAGCACAACACAACTCTACATGATACTCAAAAACTCCATAATGCTCGAGGACATGGCAAAGATATGCAACATTAAATGTTCAATTTTAATTTTTACCAAAAAAAGCTAATTAGCATCCGTATCTGGCATACATCTTATTAAAAATTTTTAGAATATGAAAGCAATAAGTTTCACATGATCACAAATAGATATAACAATTTATTATGCTATCTTATAGAAATTTTCCTAGCAAATATATTTCGTGCTCATTCTATATTTTTAAATTTCTAAAAGCATGTGTATAATATCCTTGGTTTATGAAGGGTGAAGATTTTTTTTTTAATGGATACACAAGCATAAACAAACGGTAGAATTTTTAATCTCAAAATAGATTTGTGTCCAGGGTATTCTAGAGTTGCATCTGCATATGCTTCTCTTCACATACAATATATATATAATTATATATATATATATATGGTGACTTGCTACAGTAGGATATTTGTATATTCTTCTTATGTATGCCTACATAAACACATAAAATTCAACATATAATCTGCATTAAAAATACTTAAGAGTGTAACCTTCTCATATAATATCATAATCCAGTGCACTTCATGCTTCACAGCAATTAAATAAATCTTACTGCTCAGGGAAATGTGAAGGAGCAAATACTGTGTATTTGTATGCAAGATTTACATATGCCAGTTAAAAATTAATTATAGAAGGAAATAATATGAAAAAGACATACAAGAAAAAAAAAGTATTAAAAGAAACTAAACTTATTTGATAGAGTTCAAAGAGAAGAACCAATAAGGACAAGAAAAATGTCAAGGCTGCGCAAAAAAAGTAAATGTGAGCCTCAATTAATGAGTTATAATAATAATGAAGCTTGTTGATAGCTCAGCAGCTACCACATAAATTTCAGAAATATTCTTTATCATGAGCAATAAGAATATAGAAAAGAAAATAAAAGCAACTACAAAACCATAGGAAATTATACATGAACAAAAGAATAGCGTGGGAAAGAGACTAGAGTGCTTTTAATGAAAATATTAAGAGAGAAGTATTTTTGGGAGATTGACAGGATAAAATATAAGAAAACGTAAATGCACTTCGTTTTAAAACAATAACAATTTACCACATATTGTGGTGCCTTCTTAGGTTGCTGCCCAACTGAAAACAATAGTTAAATGATACAAGGCTCAACATGAATACAGACGCTAAAAGCAATTATATACTATGTCAGAATCCCTCTTTCTCGGAATTGATAGCTGGTTAGTACTTCTTCCATAAAAACGTGACTGAACTAGAATGAGATAAGTAAAACAAAGTTCATAGCTCACATGAAGAAAACACGATGTGTAGAATATAAAGGTTAGTACTTTCAGAAAAGTTTCTGCATTTGCATGAATAAATACACATCAATGCAGAGAGATTCCAAGCGAGAATGCATACAAGAATAGAACATTCACATTTTCTTTTTACATTCAAGGATAGATAAGGCAATATGCAGAGGTAAAAGGGATTAACAGAAGAAAAGGTGAATACACAAGTGAAGAAATAGATAACAATATGACAATTATGAGTCATCACTAAGTAGAACAGCTAAAATTTTCAATTACACAATTATAAAGACGGGTTGGAAAGCTGCAAATAAAGATGGCATGACAATGGAATATATAACATGATGAATCAAAGAGGATCATAAGCATGGAAAGAGCATTCAATTTTCCTGACCATCACTTGCCAGTTTGAGCATTAAAGTATCAAACTTAATCTTGAACATTATTTCATCTTTATTAGCTTTATCTTAATTATTTGAGGCTGGCAATACGAACCCACATTTTTCATTCATTCTTGATGAATTTATTATGAAGTGTTAAAGACTTTCTTAACAAATCATTTTGAACAATTTTTATCCATGTAAACTAAGGGCTACCTCTATTCTTTCAAATCCTCAAAAACTAACTTTACCGACTAACAAATGCATTTTCTACTCTTCATAAAATTTTTCCAAAACACCTAAAGTCTACTTGTAGTCACATTATCTGCAATGGATGTAACTCCAATATTTCCTCTAATATAATCTTGCAGTTGTCTAGGGGTATAATTGAGTCAGAATTGGCTTCATAAATAACTCATGAATTGAGCTTGATGAGCCAACAAGTCAAATTTGAGCCAACCCCGCTAATTCAGTATATTGTTCTTTATTATGTTTCAAACTAATCTCTCCTTTAATCATAATTCCCTAGCAAGAAAATTAGAAAAATAGAGAATAAGACTCCATAGTAAAAATTATGGAATGTTCAAACCACAAAATAAAATTGAGCATACATGATATTCCGGCTCCATTTCCTATAAATTTATGTTTGCTTGCCGGAACTGCAGCAGCAATTTTAAGGTATTTGGTTCAATAGCTATGAGAAAAGGTTCATCTGTTTGAAAGTTGTGAATCAGCTATTTTAAAAAGATATTATAGGTGCTTATTCAAAAAGTGCTTTAATGAATTTTAGATTTTTTATCATATTAATTATTATTCATTATTTTAATGAGTTATATATTATTTAAGGTTATAATATTATATTATACTTGTATGAAATTCATAAAAAATCATTTTCATGATACAATAAACTCATATAAGTGCCACAACAATTTTTAGCTATATAGCCAAAACGTTTACATCACCGTTGAACACCACTATACATAATTTTACCAAAAAAATCCATCCACTTTTGTCAACAACACAGCACAATACAGCCCAGCACACCTGAATGGAACAATGCCAAAAAGAGCATTAATGTACGTTGTACGCAAGATGATGTGGACAAAAATCAAATCAAGTGGTAGGAAATTAAACAAAGCAATGTAAACTGGAGTTGAGCAATAATGTCCAGTCTAGTTCCTACAAAGCTTTTTGATGTCCACTCTTAATTGAATACAAGCAAAGGAAACAATCTGGGACTGTTAATATCACATTTGACATATAACCATTCAGAACTTTAACCTTTTTTGCTAATTCACAGATCATCTAAGATTCTAAGTAGATCATTCACACTTGTTTTTTAAGATTTAATGACATAAATTTTTTAAATGGAACTGATCAAATTCATTGATGATAGGTAAAAAGTAATTCAAATTCCGTTATTATGAACCAGCCACTAGGATTTTTACTAATAAAATGCATTACAAGTAGAAGTACAATTTTAACCCTTTAGATTAGCTGTTCTATTAAATTTTTTATATTGCTTTGATGCTACTGCTGAGCTGAACTTTATTCAAAGAATATAAGTTCATCACATCAAATAAATGAACAAGAAAGTCGAGTATTTTTTTCAACCATTTAGGGCCCTGACCATACCTCGCTATTTACAACATCATTGACCAACTGCTTTGCCAATTCAATCTGTTCCTTCGTGCCATCTATATGTACAGTTCTCTCAGTTGAGGGATCTCCTGGAGGTAGATGCAGTGGTATCACCTGCATTAAGACAACATCCAAGCATAAATAAAATCTGACAATGAAATTATAAGCACAAGTTTATAGAGGCACAAGTGAGCAGAAAGTAGATGTAAAAAAAACCAAAAGGATTCGATGAAGTTTTATGAGTCACAAATTGCTTCCTCAAGCATTTAAAAGATATTGAGAAGACCAAAAAGTTGCACATCAAGTTATTTTGAGCACCAAGATATAATAAGAGAAAAAAAAAAAGGCTGACAAGGCAGAAATAACTTTTTAAAAACATATCAATCTTTCTGTAAACAAATGTTAACTTTGAGTAGGCAACAACAGGCCTATCATTATGTTTTATTCTTAACTAAACAATGAATTTCTCAACCCATACAAAGTGATTCAATAAGAAGAACAGAAACTCAAGCCTTTCACGTGATAAACAAAGATTTAAATAAAAGTCATATGCTCCAAACAATTGGCCAAGCTGCACTTGCATAACTTCCACACGGAGAACTTAGCAGCAACAATTAACTTACAAGTTGAAATAGGTTTATTGGCAGACCAGTTTGTGAGCCTAACTACAAGGTACAACGACAGCAATGGCCTAGTGATTACTTTTTCCATAATAGCCAACCGATTACTTCTCTCCAAGCACACCTCATGCTTTCTCATTCCCATATACTCTAGCATTCTCTACTGTTTTCCTACATTCCAGTATTCATAACTAGGAAACCTTGCATATAAATCCCTCATTTTTTTAACAAGTCTAATTAATTACAACGGTTCATTTTAAATTGACCACATTGGACCTGCCATTTTTATCTTTATAGAGATTATACATTAGTTCCATCAACACATATTATCAAATTATTAAACAAGACTGACACGTTGTCGCTGTCGGGTCCCAAGTCCTGAATGAGAAAAGTAAAGGATTGCGTTAGATAGTCAACAACCAGCGTAAAACTTGTCGAATAATCATGACATTAATTAAATAAGACTATAAATTTGAGAAAAATAATTGTTCCGACTTCCCCATTAGACTCCCAAACTATGCCAAAGAGATAAGAAACAAAAATAGCAAGCAGCTCCATTGCCTCACTGTGAAAAGTTGTAGCCAACGAGGTCATACCCACAAAAGCTATATATCAAATACTTGCTTTTCTTTTACTAATCATAAGTAATTTATCTTCTAAACTTTTTTTTATTATTCTAAATTTTCAATTATTCCAAAATAGGCCTCATCATTTAAAAGTATCATCCACAACACCAAGGTAACAACTTTAATGTCATTTGTAAGCATTTTGATACCTCTACAAAAAGATACAAACTTATTATTGATCCTTGATTGGAACAAAGGGAATGAAATAGGAGCAAGCTCACCAAACAAGGCCGAGTACAGGCCTAATAGCATCCATTGATTTTAGACCTGCCCATCCTAGTTGGTTTTGATTTCAATGTGATGGCTTCTCTATTCTAATCTTTTAGGAAATTCAAATTTTCATTCATTTTGTTTAGGAAATAGGTTCATTTATTCTAGGAAGATAGTTTCCTTTGTTATAGGAAATAATTCTCTTGATTCTAGAAGTTAGCTATTTATATGGATTTAGTTCTGCAGTACAGATTACAGAACTTGTATTTATCCATATGGAAGTAATAGAAAATTATAATTCACTGCACTCTCCTCAACCTCTTGCCCATCAACCAGCAGCCAACTCCCTCTTTATATAGATTTTTTATGAAGTGTCTTATTTCAAACACCAAGCATTCACCAATCTATCTTTATTTCAGAAGGGCATGAAAAGTGCAAGCGCACCTGCTAATATGGCTGGTAAAATTTTTAAAATCCAAATGAAGTTTGATAAGTACTGGATTATAATTTGTTTTTGCCATATGCTGATCTCCTGGACATGACGTTTAAGCTAGAATACAGTTAATTTTGCGAGTCAACTCTTTATAGAGATGAGGATGCGAATTAGAAAATATTATTTATGCATTATTCAATCTTCTAAAAAGTCCGCTTTTAAAACAGCATAAAAAGGATCGGTCAGTTCGAATCAAGTTGTTTGCAAAAGCCAATCAAAAGAAAGGAAGTGCAAAAGTCAATCAAAAGAAAGGAAGTTCAATGTATATTAGAAAAGACGATCAATAGTTAAATTTTAAATTTTCATATGTTAATTTTTATTTAGAGCTAATATATTCATCAAATGTTGATATTGACTGCTTAGATTTTAATGCAAGGCTTCAAGTAGATTGCCTTTCTACGAGATATTTCGTCTATTCAAGTAGGTACAGATTGTTCAGAATCAGCTTTTAGTATCGGTAGAAAATTTATAAACCTAACAAAATTCATGCACTTGTTTGTTAATGATGATTGGCTTTGTGCTAATAGTTTTTCCTTAGGCAAGTCTGAATTCTTATATTCTTATGGTTTTCTTCTTTTTGCTAAGCTTTGATATTTTTATTTTTACAGTTAGCCAACGCATTTTAGACCATAATGATGAGGATGTTGGGGGTTCAAGTGATGAAGATAGAGAAAATAATAATGAGTAAAATTGTCATCTCTATGTAGGTTCTTTCAATTTATTTTCTTAAAAACACACTACAACATCAAAGGTAAATAACCTTAAAGACATTTTGTGCGCTTTGAAGATAATGACTATAGGTACAAAGTTTTAAGTTCTACCATGTAACATTTTTTGTAAGACCGATTGTAGACTTGCGCAAACCTTAAAAGTAAACTTTGTATCAAGGCTCACTTTAGAATTTATATCAAGTTTATAATATTTTTTAACTCTCACTAATGGGCATTTTATTGTTTTTAACAATAATTCAGCTTGAATTACGAATAAACAAATCACTTTCAATAACAATTAGAAATTATATTATACTTTCATGAATCTTTAGTGTAAGAAAAAAATTTCTTAAACCTTTTTTAAGTTTATTGGGAAAATTGAAAAAAGTTTCTTAAACAATAAAGTTAACTCATTTATGATATCAGATGAGAGGCACATAGCAAGCTTTTCTTAGTCAGACTCACGGTAAAAAAAATCTATAAGTTGTGGCCTTAGCATAAAAATAAGCTGGCTCAGTACATCAGCACATTTTCAGTTATTTTTAAAAAACCATAAGCATACAAAACCATAATGATTAACAGTCTTATGTATATCTAACTAATTTAGTTCACCTGTGATAGCTCAAAACACAAAAACATGATAGATAACCTCTTTTAGGCCTAGTACCACATATCTATAGATGCATCAAGCAACCCAAAACATCTCCTCTCACTAAATTTAATTAAAATTTTCAATGACAGAAACCAAAATTTTAATATCACATCAAATATAACAAATCCAAAAAGAAATTAAGAAAATATTAGAATGCTGGACAAAAATTTATTAAAACGAAATCCAAAACTACCAGTGCCAACAAAAAAGCTATTGAAGGAACAAAAGTAGCCGGCATGTGGAAAAGAAAATCCAAGTTTGGTATTGACAGTAATGAGTGGTGACTTTGAAAAAACACTAACTGATTGTGAAAAAACTTATATGGTCATATAAACAGAGGTGCAGACCTGAATACGTGCCCCGCAAGTAGCCTGCATGTTTTTGATATTCTCACCGCCTTTGCCAATTATTAAGCCTACCTGAATATCATAAATATCAAATCAAAATAAGTCTAGGAGGACAGAACTACAAAATTCACCCTGATATAGTTCACCGAGGTCACTAACCTTATTGTTGGGAACTTTCATTGAAAAATGATCAGAATTAGTAGGAACAGCAGCAAATTTTCGGGCAGAAATAATTCCAGAGCCACCAACATCAGCCTTCACAAGTAATACAAAATTAGTAAATGAAAAAAATAGTATATCAGAATGGTCTTTCCTTCTTGATGTATTCCATCAGCTACCTCAGAAAGCACTTCATTTATCAATTGTTCAGCCTTGCTAATCTGCTCGGGAGTACCAATAAGGTCTACAGATCTGGTCAGTGCATTAGGATCAGCATCTAAATCTCTAGTTATTTGAATCCTGGCTCCAGATTGCACCTGAAGATATTTGATTGTTTCTCCACTTCGACCAATGATAACTCCAACCTAACAAGAAAGATTCAAGAGTGATAGATCATAAAAATGATCCACCTTGAACATACGGGATAGCATATAGAAGACATGGTTCAAAAGATCAATACCCTGCCATTAGGAATCTCAACTTTTTTGTTTGAACCTGAATAGCCATGAGAAGAAAAAGTAGAATTGGTCCCTCCAAGTTGCAATGCTATAGACTGACCCATTGGCTTTAGTGATTGATCTTAAGCGCATGGAAACAGAACATAAAGTTTCATAATTTAGGAATAAGCCACGAGAAATTTTATTTGCATAAAAAATTTATGAAACCATGCTTATGTAAATCATATCACAAACTAAACAAAACAGTGCAATCTACCAGGCTCGAGCAGATCAAACAAAGAATAGGTAACGAGGAAGCGTCTCATACACAGAAAAAACAGCAAATTATGGGATTGTGTGGCTCAGAACTGTGATCCGAACTAATACTGTCGCACTACAATAAATATTAACCAAACCCTAGAGATGCATAAACATTCACCGTACTCAAGAGTCCTCATAGAAATGCCTTATATGAAATTGCTGGCACCAACCATGAAATATTAGATGAAGAGGGCCAGATCGTAAGCCATTTCAGCAGGCACAATGCAACATAAAAAATTAAAAAGGATAATACGTTAAAGTTATTAAGCCCTAGACAAATGTAAGAAGAACATGAACAATTACACAGATGAAGGATTCTCACTCTCCTGAACATATTCTACGTTCCTTGCAAGACTCTAATCAAACTAAAACACAGCAGATAAGGAGATCAAAACAGAAAGACATATACCGGAGCTAAAACCCTTGTAGCTCGAATCGTCCGCACCGCCATCGCTTTCAGTCCTGGGCCTCTTAGCCTCGGCGACACTGAATAACCTTGCAGCAATCTCCTGAGCTCGCTTTTTGGCAAGTTCGATGCCATCGGGAGGGGGCGGAACGTTATTGTAGGACGACAGGGCTGCAGCCCCAGAAGTAGACGAAATGATAGGATCCGAGAATCCGGTGGACCGCCGACCGGAAGCAGGGGTAGCAGGGGAGGGAGAGGTAGCACCACTATGATCGTCGAACTTTCGCTTGCTATCCAACCGGGACGAATATTGAAGGTCTTCTGCCATCAGGAGAAGGCCGCCGCTTCCGCTGTAAAGCGAGGAGAACCACAGATGAAAGATGCGGAAGCAGGATTAAAGAGCTAGCGACCGACGATCTAGGAAACCCTAGATGCAAAAGAGAACGATAGGACTGCCAGTGGAAATCGTAAGTGGATGGCTAAAATGAAATTTTGCGCTGCTACGCAACAGTTAAATTTATAAACCCATTTTCTTAAACAATTTCAGTCCGGTGTGATCCGCCCCTCAACTATTTTAAGAATATATATATTATAAACCCATTTTCTTAAACACCCCCATCGCCCTTTAATCTTTATTATCTTGTAAATTAGTTTTTTTTTCTCATTTATGAAAAAGCCTTATACATGGATAATAAAATAAATATTTTTTTTTTAAATTTGAGTTACTATATTATACGAGTTCTCGCTCCGGCTCGGGCTTAATTTTAAGCTAATGCGGGCATAAATCTTTGTAGCAATAAAGTACAAAAAGCTTTTCGTCTTAGCGATGCATCAAAATTCAGCACGGAAACAGATAATTAAGATAACAAGAGAACACTTTAGATTTTTACATGAAAAATTCAAAGAGGGAAAAACCATAAGGCCTTGCTTAGGTGAAAAGATTTCATTATATATGAGCAGATTACAAAGGTTAGATTATCCCTTAACTTGAAGACAATAAAATTACAATATATTGAAATATTGGTCAAACTTCGTATGGATACTTGGGAATTTTTAATGATAGTGAACAAATGAAGGATGTTAGAAATCAGATGGCAGTGGTCAGGAAAAAATTTAGCAAGAGCAAGCCGATGGAGCTAGTCGAGTGATTGAACGAAGTCTTAATGATGGTTAGCAGTTAGGAAGAGATATGGCGGTAGCATCGCCTAGTAGGTGATATAACGATAGTCAGTGAACATGTTAAAATTTTGGCAACGTTCGTTGGTCGAAAAAAGATCTGGCGGCGGTGACTCCCAGGATGAGATCTAATAATAATCAACGGACAAGCAAAAATCTGACGATGGTCGGTGGTTGAGAAGAAATATGATGATGTCCAACGAATAGACGAAGTCTGATGACGAGCAATGATTAGGAAGAGATCCAGTGGCAGCTAATGAACAGACAAAAATCTTGCGACGATTGATGGTCAAGAAGAGATCAAGTGGCGATAGTGCTAGATGGAGGAGATCCAGTAATAGTTGGTGGAATGATAGAAATTCAACGACCGTCAGTGGTTGGGAATAGATCCGATGGTGCAATGCTAGCTAGAGAATGCAAGAGAGCTATCTAGTTTTCTCTTCTCTTTTCTCATCCCCCTCTATTGAAGAAAAAGGGTTTATTTATGATTTTTTTTTTAGTGGCATGCTTAGTAAATATGAAAAATATCTAGGGACAAATTTAAAGTGTTCAATCGGACGAAAGATATTAATTCCCTTGATCATGGATTATTCTTCAAATGTTTATATGTCATAACGATGTTGGAATTAAGTAACTTTGGTCTTGTTAGATTTAGGGTTGCAAGCAAACCAAACGTTCGATGAGCTACTCATTGCTTGGTTCGATTAAAGCTCGTTTATGATCATTTAACTAACTAAACAAACAAACTTGAACAACATTTTTAATACTCGATCCTTAAATAAACAAGCTTTAACACTAACGTGTTTGGTTCAATTATGTTCACAAACAACATCATTTGAAGCTCGTGAACATGCTCGATATTAAGCTCGATTCGTGTTCAATTCAGAACTCATTAATAAGCTGGAAAAAAACTTGATTGATATTTAATTATAAAATTTATAAATATATATAATATAAATATTTAAATTTATTATAACATAATGATATAATTATTTTAATTAATATATTTTAAAGTAATTAAATATCATAATATATATTGTAGTTTTAATTTACTTACCATTGCTAATTTATTATATTACATCGTTAAATCTTGCTCATTTGATAACTCAAGAATACTCTTTAAATTTATTCATGAACATGCTTGTTTGATAGTTTAAAAAAATTCGCTAAATATGTTCACGAACAGAGCTCGTTAAGGCTTGTTTACTTAAAGTTCGATAAGCACTAAACGAACCGAACATGAACACCATTAATTTAAACGAACCAAACATGAACACAAACAATAAAACTTGAATCAAACACGAACTTAACTTGAACAAGCTAATAATAAATAAACACAAACATGAACACTCACATACTTGGCTCGGCTCAGTTCGTTTGCAGCACTACTTAGATTCATCTCTTCAAGCCGCTCAATTTGATTATAAGCATGTCATATTTAGATATCATTTTGTCATCCAATTAATATTTTGAAGCCTTTAAATATATTTTGGCTCTTTGATTTAAGCCTATTTAAGCTAAGATTAGACTGAATTTGGTGTAATTGAACCATAATCGGCTAAAGATGGATGTTAGGGGGACCATAATCAGGCGACGAAGGTCAGATGGATCTTAGTCGGGAACTATGGTCGGAGGGATCATAGTCGAGTAACTGTGATCGAAGGACCATTATCGATGGGCAATTATGGTTATAAGACCAAAGTCGACGGATGATGGAGACAGGAGGGATCATAGTCGGCTGGCGAGAAAGGTTAGAGGAACCATAAACGGGCAACTAATGTTGAAGGATCATAGTCAACATGTGAGGTCGGAGAAATCGTAATATGGTTGCTGAAGTTGAAAGAAAGTAGTTGATGGGTAATGAAGATTGAAGGAACCATGGTCAAACGATAGAGGTCAAAAGGACTATGGTTATGTAAAACCCTTCTAGTTTTTTTTTTTTTTTTTTTTTTTTTTTTTTTTTTTTTTTTTTTTGTCTGTACGAACTGCCTGTACGAACTGAGTAAAATGCAAGTTCGTCTGGACGAACTGAACAAATTTTTTTTACGGAACCCATCGTCCATGAACGAAAATTCATTATCGTCCGTACGATCAGTTTAAAGAGGAGATGATCTCCCTGTACACTGATCGTACAGACGATAATGAATTTTCGTCCCTGGATGATGGGCTCTGTCAAAAAAATTTGTTCAGTTCGTCCATACGAACTTGCACTTTACTCAGTTTGTACAGGCAGTTCGTACAAACTAACCATACAGATTTTCAACAGTTCGTCCGTACTAAGGTCGGTTCGTACAAATGAACTGCACCAAAAAAAATGAAATCTAGAGAGGTTTTACAGGTTAGGCTATGGAGGTTATAGGGATTGTGTTTAGGCAACGGAGGTCAGAGGGACCGTCGCCGATGACAAAGGTCGGAAGACCGTCATTAGGGGACATAGGTTAAATGGTATATATTCTGGGGACTATATTAGGTAGGCGACAGAGGTCGGATGGACCATAGTCAAGTGACTGTGGTCTAAGGACTATAGTTGGTGGGAGATAGAAATTAAAGGTATCCTAATCTCACAACAAAAGTTGGAGTGACCACAATTAAGTAATAGAGGTCAGAGGGACCATGGTCAGGATATGTAACAAATTTACATCAAAATTCATATTAAATCATGTCAAAAGAAAGCAAAATACATGCTACAATTTTATCGAAAAGCTTAAATTATATAAAATAACAAAAAAACATACTAGTCCTATCATTAGGCACTTTAGAAGTCCCTTTCACTTATTCTAACTGTCTACTTCCAGACTTAGCACATCTTTGTCTATGTCTAGGCAATGGGCATTTTACCATTTGATGCCCATAATCACCGCATCTAAAACATTAACATGTCACCCAATAGCAGGGTCTTACATGTCTCCTCCCACACCAAATACATTGTAGAGTGGCTTGTGCTTTTATAATCTAGCCAGTCATTTTCTTACTACTTTCATCAAATTTTTATAGATTTTTCCAAGCTATTTTGTCGGTTTATCACTCATCATTTGAGCGATCATATCATCACATTTTTTTTAATTTTCAAATGTCCTTAAAAAGACTTTAGTATAAGATTCAGACTTCTTTCCTTTTTCTTTTGGGTCCCTTCGTTAGATCACAATATAAAATAAGTATGAAACAAATCCTTTGACACAAATAAATCTAACATCTTTAAAATTAATCAATAATGTAGCTCTTATTATAATCTAATTCTTCCACACCATTGCTCTAATACCATTTTGTCACATCCCGAGAGCTATAGTGGAAGAATTATATCTCTCTTTTTTCTTTTTGTCTATTCTTAATTCATAATATTATTTAGTTTCAATCAGCAACCAACACTCATACATTTTCATCCGATTAATTTGACATCCATAGCTGATTAATTATATTACATAAAATAAAGAAACAATAGAAACATAATTTATATTACAACAGACAATAAGTACATCTTCTGGTTTGAAGTTCAAAATAATATATGCAATAGCTACTACAACCTACAAAAGAATACATATAATCAAAAAACTTAAAATAAAATCATAACTATCATTACTACTAAGCCTTAAAATGTATGTTCCTTATCTTTACCGAAAATCATTTAAAATTATGTAATAAGCATAAAAGTCTAGAAATTACTTAAAATATTACAACTAAAATTAGTACAAGGAAAAAAGAGAAACATTATGCTATAAATCTTAAAAGAAAATCAATAAATCAATATATATTGTTTGTACTATCACTTGTATCAATTTATCAATCTATTATATATCACATATTAGTCCATCAAATCTTCAGTCCTGATGCCGAGCCATTATTAATTAGCAAGGTTCTGAAAATCAAACCGTAAAACGAATCGAAAGAAGAAGAAGTTCATGGTTCGACCTGTTGAACCTATTGAATCGGGGTCAAATCGAATGACGTAATAAATAATTATATTATTAAAAATTATAAA